AAGCTGAGACCTGTACCAACAGCCAGAGAAGAGAAGTGTCCAGGTGAAGCCAGCCTGCTTGGGAGCTGAGCAGTCTACGCATGCAACGTGAGCCACTTAACAGCATCCAAGTTGGGAAGTCCTGGATGCAAGATGTAGAGATTCAGGTCCCTGGAAGTCGAGTCCGTGCCTGGGGTCTGCCTACCAAAGGAGGTACTAGGAGAGCTCTTCTTGGGTTAAATCCGGCTATTTACATAAGTCTTCTACAAAAATATAAAGTGCCTCTCCTTGCCCCCACAAGTGTCCACTCACCAAAACAGAGCAAATTCTGCTCCAACCCCCTCTCCTCTCCATTCCTCCAAAGCTGCGAGAAACTTTCTCCATGGCGTACAGGAACCCTAGCCACCCTAAACACCTTGCCATCCCAACCGCTACTCGGTCAATCTCTTCATACTCTGTGAATTTCACAGGAACCAAGAACCAATATATGTCCCTTATATCCCCCTTCCGTTCCACCCTCACCTCTGTTAATAAAGAGGTCATAGCAACACTCCCAAAGGGAAGCGGGGAATTAGGGAGATTATCTGAATAATTCACCCCTCAATTTTTAAAAATGTGATTGTTAGACTTTTTCTGGCAGAAGCTAATGCTGAGGACCAGATATCTGGGGTCCCCCTTCATTCTTACTGCCCTTTGGAAGTACAGAGGCAGTCCGGAATGCAGACACAAAGCTCTTCCTGAAATGCTTGTTCTCACCCCACCCTCATAAAACACCTTCCCTACACCCATTCCCATTGGATCTGCTCTCACCCAGGAATACTTGTCTATACAGGCTGGAAAGAGAAGAGGTCACAATCAAATGCAGTAGGAAATAAAGTGCTCGGGAAGATTATGTGGAAGAGAGGGGGTTCCAATGGCCTGGTCTGGCTGTCTTCATGATGACAGTTTCTCAGGAAAATTGTTGGACTTGTCACTTTTCTCTGCCTGTGTAGGAATAGGCCAAGGTTTTTTTTGTTTGTTTGTTTGTTTTTAATCTGAAAAACAAGACAGCTTTACTTTTAAAGTACTTTTAACAGAGAAGATCCTTTACATTAAAAAGAATTTTTCTGTATAAGATATTTTTTTAATGACTCTCAGTTCTCAAATTTGTTTTACTTTTACAGATGTAGCTATGATTCAGGAGATTGGTGACTCTGGGACAAGAGTAAAACAAAGAGGGTTAGTAGTGATACCATGAGGTACTTGGGTGTTTATTATTATTATTATTATTATTATTATTATTATTATTATTTAAATCCTCAGAACATTTTTTCAGGCTTATTTTATTAAACCCAATTTACGAGATGAGGAATCTGAAGCTCAAAGTGGGTAAAATTACTTGAGTGACAGGGCTAGATTTTAAACCAAGATTTTCTGACTCAATGTAATGACACAGTAAGTTCTAAAATGGAAATAGGCTATCTGGTACAATCCAGCTCTGAAATACCTCTTTTTCCCTGGAGAGCGAAATGAGTTAAAGTGGGTTTTGGTTCCTGGATTAACCAACTAATTGTCCCTGACTTTCTATCTCACTTTCTGAAAATGCTCACAGTTTCCTACCCAATTTTGGATCCTCTAAACTCCAACTCCAAATTTCCAATGAGATTTAATCAACATAATCCTTAAAATTGTGCTTTAAAAAGCAGTTACTTGGTCTAAACTAGTTATTTTTCTCTATAGGATGCCAAGGATTGACTTGCCCAAGTTTTTAATGGATCTGACCAAAACGCTGGTTGTTTTGGCCTCCTGGGAAACCACCTTTAGTCTTGCCTTCTCAAAGAAGCCCCCTTTCATTGTCTGCTGTCTTGTCTGGAAAGGAATTGGGATCTACAGATGTAGAAACATCTGGAAGCTCAGACCTCGAGCTGTGTCTCTACTGCCTAAAGTAAATAGGGTATTTGGTTATTAATTTTACAATCAAGCCTTCCCTAATGTCCCTCCAGAGCACATACACAAACCACTTCATAGCTGGGGATCTAATAGACATCTTTGAGAGTTGAATAAAAATCAGATCAGTGCTCAGCTGTAGCCTTCTCTTGGGGTCCTGGGTACAAGTTCCCACAGCCCACTTGCTCTTGACCACTCACTCCTACAACAGGGCTCTGCGTGCTGAAGAAGACTTGGTCTAGCTAGAAATCCTAGCTGCTCTTCTCAACCAAAATCCAAAGGCTAGTCAGTAGGGATTCCAACATGGCCCAAAGAACCCACTATTTCATTCTATTGCTCTCCCTGTGCCCCCCACCCCCACCCCATGCTCTGATTCTCTCTCGGAATTTCTGCTGATTCTCTCTTGGAATTTTTGTCTCTCTCTGTGGAAAAAAAAAAGTGCCTACACTCACCATAGAAAGAAAAAAAAAAAGAGCAATGAAACAAGGGTCTGTATAATTGGGGGAAAGAAGAAGCCACAACACATCTCGGCCCTAATTATCTGGATCTTTCTGAACAATTGCCTCCATATCCCACACCAGCCCAGACTGCCATAGTGAGGTTTCTCAGAGCCAGAGGCGCTAAAGAGAGACAGTAGTGTTTATGCCCAGATGCTGCCGAACAAACCACAATTGCATAGACAGAGTTATCTGGAAATCTCACTACTTCTAAAAGATCTCTGTGTGGGTAGAAAGATGTAGGGTGTCTGAAGATAATTTCTTTTTCATCTGCTTTTTGCCTGGACATCTGTACTCACGGAGATATACCAGCCTGATTCGGTTTCCACACAGGGAGCGTGTGAGCATATAGCTGCTGAAACATAGTGGGTTTTAGATATCCACTTCCATGCCGTAATTTGCAAGTGTATTAAATCTCAATTGGGCTATATTTTTTTATTTCAAAGTTACTTTTCTCTAGGAGGTTATGATCAAAAAGTGTTTATTTTTAGCAGGCTTCTCTCCCCCTCCGCCGTATCTCTAAGATGTTCATTTTGCTCAAAGATATTTCTGAGCTGCTTTCCAATCTTTCACCCCCCACCTCGCTCCACATACATACACAGAGATGCCAGGGCAGCTCCTTCTCTTTATCTCTCCACACTAAACCCATTGCCCATTGCTCTAGTCCGTCCTGTGCCTCTGCCCACAGTGGGCCCGGTGGGCATCTGCTCCCCTGCCCTTCAGCCCCTTAGCATTGCCTACCAGCTAGCTCTCCCTCCTCCAGGAGTTCCTGCTGGACCTGTGTCTTCTAAGGAGTTTTCGGTCTGGGTGAGATGGAGAATGAAAGGGCCATCTGTCTCTAATACATTGCTGTATACTTCCATGTGAATTGTCTGTCTTCTAGAAATGTAATATCATGTGTTTCCTATTAGGTAGTTAATTAACAGGAATTATATAAAAATATTATTGTCAATTCAGAGCAAGCAATACCAGATATCTTATACTAAAATGGTATCATCCTGGAATCCTCTGGTGGCCAGAAATGGGGTGCCTAGTGTGGGTCCCACCCTGATATTCGGTTGTGTCATACTAAGTAATCTCATATTTGCAAGAATGCTATTTTCTACACTTTCTAACATCATTCAGGGTTTTTTCACCATCTGCCCTTGCCCCAATCCCGGATGCAGAGGAATTTCAGGCCCACCCTTAGGTCTTCAGACCTCTAATCCCCAGTGAAAATGTCCCTGGGCTCCCACTTAGAACTGGGGGGCCCTGTGGACGGTCTGAGGAGACATCTGTGGCTTCCATGCCCCCCACCAGGACGCCTGTAGGCATTAGGATGGAGCTAGTCAGCCCTCTCCCACCGAGCTCTGCTTAAAGCCAGAGCAGACGGAGGCTCTAGCTTTGTAACCGCTCAGCACTGTGCTGTATCCAAAGCTCCTGATGTGATTTTGACAAACCTGAGACTGATCTTTCTCCCCTGGGGAGCGGTGAGGATTGCAGGATCCCCTCTGGTTTAGAATCAGCCTCATTTGGAAAAGGAACAGGACACGGGTGAATTCCCACCCCCTATTCCACAGGCAAAGACTTCGGCGTCCCTAGCCTGGGCCTGGATCCCGGCTGTATCCAGAACAGGTCTTCGGTCCCCCACTTCTCACCCTCATTCCCCCTTTTCTGTGGTTGAGGCATAGAAAACTCTCTCCCCCCCCCCAACATCTGGGGGTGGGGGTGGAGGAGCTGGCAGTGGGAACACCCACAGGATTTGAGCTCAGGATACCAGCGAAGCAAAGAAAATTTTGTACGGCAGGAGAGGGATGCAAACTCCCTTCTCTCCACGTCCTCTCCGGAGATTTTAGTTCTGCTCCTTTAAGGATCAGGAAACTCAGGGGGGCCAAATCCTTAAAAATAAACCAAGAACAGAAAAACAGTCTACGTGTCTTTAGAGCCCCCCCCCATTCAAATCACAAAAACAAGCCAAAAAAAAAAAAAAAAAAACCCTGTCTGGTGCATGCACGATCTTGAAAATTCGGGCAGGAGCGTTCTTATCCCCCCCCCCCAATCTTCGGTGGGTTGAGGGTTTTGTCCCGGCGGCCAGAAAGGGGATGCCAGGGCGGCTCCCTGTCTTGATCTCCGCAGGCCACACCGTGTCTCCGCTGCCCACGGCTCTAGAGCTGCGCGTCCGCCCGCGGTGGGCCCGGCGGCGCCTGCTCCCGGCCCTCCAGCCCGCCCCATCCCCCGTCCTGGCTGCAGGCGGGCGCGGGGCGCCGAGGGCCGCGCGGGAGGCGGAGGCGGAGGCGGGCGCGCGGGCGAGCGGGCGCCTGTGATTGCTTCACCCTCGGCCGGCAGCTCCGGGGAACGTGTCGGAGCAGATTTCTTCCCCGCGCATTCCTCGGCGCAGCTCGCCCGGCCGGCTCCCTCGGCCGCCCAGCCGAGCCCCAGACGGCGGGGGTGGCTGCGGCGCGGAGCCCCGGGGCAGGCGGGGCGGGGAGGCGCGGCGCGGCGCGGCGGCGCCCGGGCCCCCTGCTTACCTGGGAAGGGGGACTTCCAGAGGTGCGCGGACTGCGACTGCTCCTTGGAGCAGTACACCTGACTGTCCCAGCCGTTGGAGAGCGCCCAGTGCTGGTAGCCTTCGACGGGGATGAGCGCGTCGTGGCGCGGCTCCGGGTGCCCGCTGATGCCGGGCACCACCGACACGTCCAGGTAGCCGGGCATCGCCTGGTAGGAGCTGGCGAAGCTGGGGTAGAAGGCGAACTCCTTGGCCCTGGAGGACAGGTCGTCCCCGGGCAGGGCGCCCGACGGCTCCGCGTACTTATCGCCCGGGTGGTAGGCGCAGGGCTTTTGCTGCAGGTTCACGTTGTGCGACAGGCGGCAGCCGTAGTAGCTGCCCCCGAACGGGTAGCCGTAGCCCAGGGTGGCGCTGGACGAGGTGGGGGGCGCCGGCGGCGGGGCGCACTGGCGCGCCGCCTCCGGGGCCGGGATGTCCGTGTAGACGGCGCCCTGCGGAGCGCCCAGGGGGGCGGGCGGGCGGCCCAGCACGGGGTGCGGGAGCAGGTCGCGGCAGTGGCTGGCCGGGCAGCCGCTGCCCAGCCCGTCCATGCCGGGGGCCTTGCCGGGGCTCGCTCCGCTGCAGCCGCCCCCCGCGCCGCCCGCGCCGCCGCCGCCGCCGCCGCCGCCGCCGCCGCCGCCGCCGCCGCCGCCCTCCGCCGCGCTGTCCTCATAGACGTACATAAGGCTCTCGGGCCAGCGCGGATGCAGGAGCAGCGAAGTCGTCATGACATGATCTGCGCGAGCTTTTTAAAAACTCCACTTGCCAGAGGCAGCGAGCTAGGGAGACACCTCGCTCCCTCTCCCCTCCCTCCCCCTCCCCCTCCTCCTCCGCCCCGAGCTTGCACCTCCCTCCCGCCGCTCCGGGACGCATGCGGACACTCCTCATTAAGAAATCCGCCGCCTCCCGCGCGTCCCCCCCGCCCCGCCCCTCCCGCGCCCACGTGACGCGGCCCCGCACGTGACTCCGGGGCCGGGCCTCCCGGGGTTCCCACCCCTCGCGGCGGGGCGGGGCCGGAGGGATCAGGCCTCTGCTGATTGGCTCTCAGGAGGGGCAAAGAGGAGGGAGCTGGGAGATTTAAAGGGACAGGGCGCCGCCCCCCTGGCAGGCCCCGGGGAGGGGGAGGGGGAGGGGGGAGGGGGGGGGAGGCTGAATTTGGCCGACGCAAAGGGGTCTGGAGCGACTAGCACTGTTCCTGGGCGCCTCCCTCTAGGTTTAGAGAGACTGATCTGTCCCCCCACCCAAAAAAAAAAAAAAAAAAAGATCTCGCTGTGGCTGGATTGGGGTTGGGGCTAAGGGTAGCGGGGAGACTGGATTTTTTTTTTCCCCTCTTAATAAATAAAGCAGGCGGAAGCGCGCGGTCAAGGCGCGGGGGTTCTCGCCCTGGAGCTCACGGAGGGAAGGAACCCGCCGCGCAGCGAGAGACCTGGATGCCCAGGATTGCATCTGCATTTCCGACTTTTTAGCCACTTTCCCCAAAGCCTTCCGGCTGGCTCCTGCACCTCCACCGCAGGGCAGACAGGGCTAAGAGGATGTGATAGCCCCAAATCACGCACACACACCACTACACGGAGAGGGTAGAGGGATGCTCTTCAGTGAAAAGTGGAGAAAGAATAAAAGGAGGAAAAAGAGGGCAAAAGGAATAGGCTGATGCTTCAATATGCAACAGAAATCAACCGCCTCGGAGTGAGATTTTCAAAGGAAAGGGCGGGAGATGCGGGGGGGGGGGGATTCGGTCTAGGCAAGCTCACAAGCCCTTGATGGGAGCAGGAGCAAGCGCGTACAAAAGGAAACGTGGAACGAGAGAGTCGGCGGAGCTGCCCCTTTGGAGGGACCTTTCCAGGCGCAACTCTGTAAGACCCCAGAAGGACCGACCTAGCCTCCCCGCCTCCGCCCTCCGCAGCCCGGAGAGCCGGCCTGAGAGGGCCCCGGGGCAGAGCCAGGATCAACACAGTTCTCTAACTTTAGCTCCCACAGCTTTCTTGGGGTCACTCCCTTTTACTGTGGAGTGTCTCCATGCTTTAAAATTGCCCCATATTTCAAGGAAAAAAAATTAACACCAACTTACTGATTTTTGAAAAAGCCCCCCCCCCTCCTTACCAATCTCCAGACTTGGGTTTCCTATGTCCAGTTTAGCTCATTAATAGAGTCACCCCTTTCCAGAGCACATCTCCATGGAATTGAGCCAAATTCCCTTTCAGCACAGGGCCTCCCTGAGGAGAAGAGGTAATAAAGAGAGAGAGAGAGAGAGGAAAAAAAGAGGGGAGAGGGGCTGCTGCGTCTCCCTCTGTCCTGCCACCGCCACAGATTTTAAATGCTGGGTGCTCCTGTCCAGACAACGCGCAGGCTAGTCCGGACCCACTGGATCCCTCAACCCTGGGAGCAAATGCCGGGTCTGTACGGAGACGTGACCCACTGGCCGCCTCCCTTCTCCCTGTATGGGGAAGGTGGTATTTGACGATGGAGAGCGCCCGGCGTCGGTGAGTTAGGATAAGAAAAGAGTAATCTTTATCAGTGCGATGTTCATCTGGAAGGATGGACCTCACCGCAGAGTCTGAAAAGCAGGCAGGCTTTGGGCTGGGTGGAAAGTGGGAGGAAAATACAACAGGAAGGTTTGAAACATAAAGCCCTCTTAGCTTGGAAGTGTGTTGGGGGCGATGATGGTGGAGGGAGAAGAGATGAACCAGGGGAAGGTGGGGTCTTGCTGGGAGACGGCTTTTGGCTTGGAAACTGGCTACCCTGCCTCAGAGTCCAAGGTCAAGGTAAGACAAGGAGGGCAAACACGGGCTGGCCAGTCCAGGCTGGGTCCTGTGACCTTGGCCTGGCTGGTGGGAGTGGGTGGCACGGAGGTCTGAGGTTTTCCAGCCGCAGGTGTAGAGGTGGTGCAGAGGCCCTGGCTTCTCCTACCGCGAAGTCCTGGGTCTGCGTGGGGAGATACGTGGACCGGGCTCTGTGGGGCCACCGGGAGAAACAAAGGGCTTGAACCGCCCACCCCATTCCTGGGGCTCCCTCCCCAGCCCAGGAATGCTCTTGCCTGACGCCTGACATGTCTTCCGTGGGCCCGGACCCAGCCTTTGGGAGTAGGGGGTCAGAACGGTGGGAAGGATCTGGGTGCAGGGCAGCCCAGCAATAAATAAAATTAATAGTATGTTCTTTTCCAGGTTTATGTAAGGACATTAACTATTCCTATTGCAATGAGATATAGATTTAATTAACCCGCCAATTTTACAATTCCATTTATCAGGGGCACGATGCGGCCAAAATTTAGCTACAAGAGGAGAGGGAACCAAAGCCTCCTTCATCAAGAAGACCAGCCAGCAAAGATGTAGCCCCCTACCCCCCACCCACCCATCAAGAGACTTGGGGGTGTGGGAAGCCTGGAGGAGGGGAAGGTTCAGGGCCAAGGGCATTAAAAGCGTCTGGAGACGTGTCTGCATACTCTGAACGATTCCCGGCTCTTCTCTGGGCTCCCCAGGACATTCCGAGCCTGAAACTGGCTCCTGGACGGGGGCGCGGCGGTGCGGGCAGCAAAGCCTGGGTGGTTAATTAACTTTAAGCCTGGGGTCACTTCTCTCTCCCCCCTCCCCCCAAAAAATATGGATCTCGCTGAGACACAAATAAAACCAAATTAAACACTCCAGGAGAATATGCACCGCTGCAAACGTAGTAATTACATCTCCGATGCGCTCCCGCCCGGAAAGCCGGGCGCTGAGACCCCGGCCGGCGCTCACCCCCTGCGCCCCGCCACTCCAAGCCCCAAGCCCGCCGGGCTGCGGTGCGGCCGCTGGAGCTCGACCGCTGAGCAAGTTCAGAGGAGAGCAGGGCAATGAAGAGGAGGGTGCTCCTCGGAGCTGCTGGTGTGGGAGGAAAGACGCAGCATTTCATTATATCAAAGGAAAATGGAAAATCGCTCCTGGGCCCCGTCGGGAAAACCGGGCTCAGCTCCTGGCTCCCTGCTCAAAAGGGACATGGGCAGGGCTGCCGGCAGGGCCACTCTGTCCTTGGCTTTGCTCGGGACCCAGTTGCAGGCTAAGTTCAGCTCCGAAATACTTCTTTTCTGTGTCCAACCTATAAAGGGGATGTTCAGCGTGCTTTTGCACAGAAAGTGTATGCACACACTTTGCGTGTGTGTGTTCGCTCCTGGCCTGTGGATCTGGGACCCTGTGCGGGCCGCAGCACTGTTCGGGCACATGCCCTTGTGAACACAACCCAGTGCGTTCTTGAAGATACGCAGCCCCGTGCCGAAATCCTCTATATGCAAATAAAGATCTCTGCTGGTCTGTTTATCCCTCTGTACACACACTTAATTTGCACGCTCATCTTATCTACCTACACATCCCCCAGGAAAGTCCTAGGGAAATGAAGAGGCGGGTGTCTGCCTTGCGGAGGGTGAGGGGTGGAACTCCGGGCCCGCTGTGTTAAAGACAAAATCAGAGGTACAGGTTAGCAGCGTCTGCCGCAGAGGGGTGCAAGCCTGATGAACGCGTTTGAGGGCTGGGTGTGCCTTAAACCCAAGGCTAGGGAGAAGGATGAGAGGAATGAAGTTGGTGTGTTCGCCACTCCCAGGTTCTTCTCTCTGGAAATTAAGCATCAATTCCTCTGTTTTCCCTACAATTTCCTCTGTTTCCTTCAGATTCTCCAGGATTTGGGGAGGGGGGAAGAGCTCGAAGCCCTTAAGCTCCTGCCCCCCTTTTTTTATGGGAGAAATTCCAGTTTAAAAAAAGGGAGGGGGTGGGTTGAGGCGGCCGGAGAACAAAGAGCCTCACCACCATGGGGTCTGGATTCTGGCCCAGACTTGGGGCCTTGGTGGGCGGGCATAGTTTGGGGGGCCCTTTCCTGTCCAGGGCACGGGCTGCAGAATGGAAAAGGAGATTTGTGGATGACAGAGGACATAGGGCTTGAGCTATCCAGGAAAGAAAGGGATGTTTGGGTTGGAGAGGCCACATACAGGAAAGGTTTGGGGGTTCAGGGAAGGCCTAGGAGAGGACAGCCCTGAGAGTGTGTCTGAGTGAAAGAGCCTCCCACACACTCAGTGCAAATTCTTGGTAGGTTGTGAAAGTGATATAGGTGAAAAGGAAAGAAAAGTGGCTGATCCTGGGGCTCCCTGGCCTAGCCCAGTCTCCTCCTCTCCTCCACCCCCCACCCAGCTCTGGAAGGTTGGGGATGACCCAAGGAGTGTGGAGACTCAGATGCCACCTCCCAGCCACCTGGATCTTTCGGGAACCAGCTCTACTTTATTTTGGCCTCCCCCACTGCCTGGCCTCAGAAAAGGGCCACCCAGACGTCTCCTCCCAGCCTGGGAACTCACCTCCTGGACAGTGGCTGCCATCCCGGCGTCTTCCACCTTTATTGTTCTCCCTCCCTGGGGCCCCAGCTTGAGGGAAGATGGGACCAGGATGGCTGAGGCATCACTTTGCTCCTAGTGTCAGAGTTTTCACTCTCAAACCCAAACTTGCCTTCCTCCAGACCCCATTCACTTCCCTCTTTTAGACATCAGAGAAATCCACTCCCTTCTGCTGTCACTTAGGACTTGCGGTGCAGGCTGAGGGTCTGGGGAGCTACATCACACTTTCCTCTCTGGTTCTGCAGGGATCCACACAGGGGTTCGGGTTCCGGCTGTCATCACCAATCTTTTCCTGGGTATTCTCCTCCCCTGCCTGGTGGTGCACTGCGTTGGGCGGCGGGGAGATCAGCCCCTGCCATAGAGAACTCTCAGGAAGCCTCCTCCAGTGGCTTCCAGGGTCCCTACCCCAGCCCTCTTTCTTCTACTGCTTCCCCGCCTCGCCCTCCCAGCCTGGCCAAGCTCCTAACCGAGGCCCCTTCCCAGCCTCCTCATCTTCTCCTTCCCCCACAGCGACATCCCTTTCTAATCTCATCCCTCCTGCCCCCTTGTCTCTCTTGGCAACATCTCAGCCTGTCGCTTGCCCTCTCCTCACCCTCCACTGACAAAAGAAATTCAGAGAATTAACATGGAGCTCAGAAATTACCAAGTACCTTCTGCCCCTTTTTGCCTCCCGGAGCCCCTACCCCTACCCTCTCTTCTGCTGTGGGTGAGAGCCCTCTGTTCCCCTCCCCTCCCCTCCCCTCAAAACACCTCCCCCTTTTAGGAAGCCCTTCAAAAACGGACAAATAAAATCTCTCCTGGGTTTAGGGCCTGTCTGAGAGGGAAGTCCAAGTTCATTTTCAAGTTAGACAAGGCAGTGAGGGGGGTGGGGAAGAGGTGGAGGAGTGTTTGCTGGGAGCTGGGTTTGGCTTTCTTGTAGCAGAGATCTAACAAAGGCCCCTTTTGGTCAGAAAGCCAACAAACTGAATGCTTGGAAAAGGCATTTATCACTTTCGATCATTTCCTCCATCTTTTAAAGTTTAGATTTGGGGCTCCTAGAAAGGAGGCTGATCTTTCTCTCCCTCCCTTTCAGATTTCCAGTTAGTTACTTTAAAGGAAGATACGGAAAATAACGTTCTCAGGACCCCAAGCCATCACTCTTCTGTATCAAAGAGGACTGTTTAACCTGTCCCAAAGAATGACTAAATGTCAAAGAGCTGAAGTGCTAGACATTTCACTTCTAACTAGATGAGAGACACCCCCCCCCCCTTAGTGCCACCATGATGCTGGGAACTGGAATTTGGTGGAGCCCTAAGGGGCAGATGGTGAAGGATATATGTACGTTTCATCATGAAGAAGGAGGGAAATCACACAGCCTAGTTCTCCACATGACCAGACACCCTCAGAAGTCACAGAAGAAGACACAATCTAATCATTCTAATTTGAGAATAATCAGGCACAAGCAACTAAGGGATCTTCAGAGGATGCTTTATCGAAAGCAAGAAAATTTAGTTTCCCCATCTCAAAAAAAAAAAAAAAAAGAGGAGGGAAGTGAAGACCCAAGATTCAACTAAAGTTGGAGGGGGGAATAAACCTCTCTTTGTTAAAATAGTCAACCTGGCTTGGGAGCTGTGGGGCAGAAAGGCAGGAGGGGGTTTGTTTTGTCTCGATACTTGGAACAAGATTCCAACTGGTGGTAATTAATTCAATATTCCTTAAAAGGTACGATTTGGTGCAGTTTTAGTGACTGGTGGGAAACTATCCCCCTGATATCCTTGGGGAGGGACTTTCCCTCCCTCCCTGCCTCTTCCCTCTCACCCAAATTTCCCTTCCCTAGGGAGTACTTAGGAGCACTATTTTCCCTCAGCTGTGGTGTTGCCTTGTGCATGCAGCAAAGTGGATGAAAGATGAAGAACCAGAAAGG